CAGGTGTCCGCGTTATTCTCGAGGAACGCCCCATGGCATCGCTCGGGCAACATCCTCCTGGCTTTCTTGGACACCTCCAGGAGTTTGGGGGAAGAGGAAGAGCAGGACGAGGAAGCACGAGGCGCTGCCCGCCTCTCCTCCTCTTCCTCCTCCTCCCCCTCCTCCCCCTCCTCCTCCTCCTCTGCCTCCTCCTCCTCCCCACTTGGGCCTACTTCACAATCGTCTCCCTCTGGACACTTCGACAGCAGCTGGAGTCCTCAGGTCCCCCGCATGTCCCAGCGCCGCCTGGCCCTCCCGGGGCCCCTTCCTCCTCCTCTTCCTCCTCCTCCTCCTGCCCCTCCGCGTCCTGATCCCTCGCCCTTCCGAGTAGAAGGACGACGACGAGGACGATGGCGAGGAGCACGAGGACGACGACCGCGGGGACGGCGGCTGCGGCGGCGACGGCGACGACGAACTGCGTGGCCGCGCGCGCGCGCGTCGCCAGGCAGGCCAAGATGCGGACCTGGTTCTCCCAAGGCGCCCCTGGGGCCACGCGCGCCCTCCTCCCCTCGCGGGAGTGTATGCAGGAGGGAAAAAAAACACAGACACAATGAATCGTCGATTCCCCAGAACATATGGGAACATATGGGAAATGGGGGTGGGGGAAGACAAACACCTAGGAAATATGGGAAATTCAGGGGAATCCTGTTATCTGTGTCTATTCATTTGTGAGTCCCAGGGCCCCTTCATGTATGTATGTGGAAGCAGTCGAGTAAATATAGGGGGGCAGCCGCCAAATCCGACGCTGGGCGCCAGCCTGAGCAGACCCAGGAGTCAACCAGAACTGCCTGCGCGGACCTTTCGAGGTGGGAGCCTCTTGGCAAGCTTACTTGGGCCATTTAGGGGCTCTTTTGGTGGATTTTGGAGGCCCTTGTGGTTCGGGCCCCTCTTGGGGATCTCTTGGGGATCTCTTGGAGCTTTCTTGAGGGCCTGGGGGACACCCTTGGAGGCCGTCGATCAAAGAAGGGGGCGTCGCGGACTGGTGCCCCCCCCCCCCCCCCTTCGGCTCGAACGTTCGCCTCTTCGGCCGCTCGTTGGGCCGCTCTTGGGGCGCTCTTGGGCGGGGCCCTTTTGGGCAACCTTGCAGCCATCTTGAGGCCTCAGACGCCCATCGGAAGCAACCACGCGAGAAGGCACACGCCAATGGTTTTCCTATGGTGTTCACAGGTTTGGGCGGCTGGGGGGCTGCCTTGGGAGGCTCGGTGGGCACTTCGAATCGTCTTGGGTCTTGGGGAGTGTCTCGGGGCCTCCTGGAGGCATCTTAGAGGGCATTCTGAGCCATCCCATCCTGTAATATTTTGCGTTATCTTGGAGCCATCTTGAGCCATCTGGAGCCAGCAATGGAGCAGAAGCTTGCCAATCATGACCACATGTGGAACAGCCAGTGAAGACATGTTTTTTTCAATGCTTTTGGCTTGGAGCGAAGGGGGTTCTTCACCAGCCTCGTCCTCGTGAAGGCCGACATCTGGCTTCGTTGGGCCCTCTTGGGACGTTCTTGAGGCGCTCTGGGGCGCTGTTGCGATCGTCTTCGGTTCCTCTCTGGTCTCGCTTGGGGCTCTATTGGTCCATTTTGGGGCCTCCTTGAGGCTTCAGGGGCCGATTGGGAGCGAAAGGCGTCAAGGCCAACATTACTGGGTTTCCTTGGTTGTGGAAGGATTTTGGCCTCTGGGGGGGAACCTTGGGAGGCCTTCCAGCCACTTGCAGCCGGCTTGGGGTGGTCTGGGTGCAGACTGGAAGCCATTGGGGCCATCTTGGGATGTCTTGGGCCATGTTGGGGCCATCTTGTGCCAACGCGGACCCCTTGACTCTTCGCGAAACCTTCCGTCCAGACCCACGGGGAGGGGGTACCTTCTCCCCGAAGGGGAAGAAAAAGGAGTTGGACGAGGAATCGTCCCAGGCCACCTCAGCCCAGAATGCTGTTTTGATTTCGGCGCATCTTCGGCTTCGTAGCGCTTTCCATGTCTAATGAGCCAGGCTTTCCCACTAGTTCGCGTTCGCTGCCCAGTCTGATGTTTCACGCCGCTTGCTTCCCCTCACCCTGTATTCGCATTATACGGAAACGATGTGTGACCCATGAACTTCACATGCATCGAATCACGGCTCATGTTCGGCGCCCGTACCTGTCGCGTTCACGTTCAATTTTGCATTTGCTAAGGTGTATGGCGCAACAGCAGAAGCCACGTCACACCGATTATGTATTGCGGTCGCAGGTTATACTTGTTGGCCGCAGCGCAGATCGCGAAACAATGTGGTATGAGTAGAACAGCTCGCAGTCCACATTACAAATTATGCCAGAGTGCGCAGTGGTGCAGTGCATTGTTTTTTGTGCAGTGTGGATTTTGGGCTGTAGTGAAGTGCGCAGTCCGCACTGCAGTCGTAGTTGTGCTTGCAAGCGGCCATCCTGTGATGCCACCACCGTTGCATGCAGCGCATGCTTTGTGAAAGTTAATATTCATGTTCGCATACGCACGCAAGCCAAACCAGACCAACGGCGGGTCGCATGGGGCGAGTGTGGCGAGTGTTTTTTTTGGTGGGTGATCAGTTGGGTGCGTTGCGTAGCCCCCATTGAACTGACAGATGGACGTCTCGGGGGATGGGGGCGGGTGATCATGGGGAATAAAGTGGGCAGATGGAGGAGAAGGCGAGGGCGGATGACGGGGCGTGGGCAGTCGAGGAGGGGGGAGGCTGAGGCAGGGAAGGGGAACGGATGCGTACAAGGGAGGGCGAACGAGGATGATGAATCAGGAGGATCGGGAGGAGGGAGCGATGCGTCGCAGGGTGGAGGTCTGGACGGTGGCGTTGATGGTGTTAAAACTGTAGATGGTGATGTTTCGATGATGGTGGTGATGGTGATACTGATGGTGATTCTAATGGTGTTCATGATGACGATTCGCATGGTGGTGCTGGTCAGCATTGCGGTCATGTGTAGTCGATGGCGATAAGGACGTTGAGGATTGCAACGATGATGCTGGCCATCCGGAAGATGACGCTGATAATGCTGATGATGATGCTGATGATGATGATGATGATGGTGAGGATGTTGATGATGATGATGATGCTGATGCTGATGATGATGACGATGATGATGATGATGATGCTGATACTGATGATGCTGCTGATGATGATGCTGATGATGACGATGACGATGATGACGATGACGATGACGATGATGATGATGATGATGATGATGATGATGATGATGATGGTGGTGGTGGTGGTGGTGGTGGTGATGATGATGATGATGATGCTGATGGCGCCGATGGCGACGGCACACGTCAAGACGATTCGGTTATTGTCGATAACGATGATGGTGCTGATAGTGATGACGGGATGAATCGTGACGATGCGGACGGGCATGCTTTGGGTGATGATGAAGGTGATGAGGAGAGGCAGGGAGACAACGGCGAGGATGATGATGCTGAGGAGGAGGATGAGGTGGAGGAGCAGCAACAGCAACCGCATCAGCAGGACCAGGATAACGAATGTGGAGGGGAAAGTGGGGATATTGGATGGGAGCAATAAGCAGACTGATAATGAATTCGCCTGCTATCCACCTCCGCCGCCTCATGGTCGGCCTCGGTCTGTCCTGCTGCTCCTCCTGCGCTGTCTCGCTTCCTCCCCAGGCTTCTTCCCAATCGGGGACGAGCTGCTGTTGAGAATGAAGGAGCGGCGCGGCCAAACCATGGGAGGATTGGTCTGATGATGAAGACGTGGGGGAGGAGTAGGAGGAGGAGGAAGAGGAGGAGGAGGAGGAGGGAAGTGAGAAAGATAGAATGAGGAGATGAGGATGAGGGCGAAGGAGGAGGAGGAGGAGGAAGAGGAGGAGGAGGAGGAGGAGGAGGGGGAGGAGGTGGAGGAGAAGGGGTAGGTGGGCGGAGAGTGGAATCCCGATGAGGAGGGGGATGAGTGAGGGGAGGAGAAGGATGATGATGCTGATGATGATGCTGCTGATGATGATGATGATGACGATGACGACGATGATGACGATACAGATGCTGCTGATGATGCTGATGATGGTGCTGGTGCTGATGATGATGGTGATCATGATGCCGATGCTGCTGATTCTGATGATTCTGATGATGATGCTGATGCTGATGATGATGACGGTGATGACGATGCTGACGATTTTGATGATACTGATGATGATTCTAATCATGCTGCTGATGACGATGATGCTGATGATGATGGTTATGATGATGCTGCTGATGCTGATGATGCTGATGACGCTGCTGCTGACGACGGCGACGATGTTTTCGGCGACTGTTTCAAGCAGAGTCTCCCCAGTAGGACGCACTGTTGCAAACAGTCGCGTTCAGCAGAGGTCCAGAGCCAGACTCCCCCCCTCCGCCCAATGTAAAAACGCCGAATAAGAAAACAGTCGCAGCTTTCCTCGGAGGTTGGTCGATCTCCTACCCCGACGCGCCGATGAGCGAATTGGCCGTCTTCGGTGCGCGAGAGGGCGTCGCGGCCGTCATGCTTGCGGGTCCAGGTGCGTCGGTTTCGGTCCTAGGCCGTTTTCCCTAAAGGGTGGCTTGCTAAAGGGAGGTTTGTCCACTGCCGAAAAAGCCACCCTCACCCCTATCATCGGCGCTTACTGATCCTTGGGCGCTTATATACTGAGCAGCCCTGCCCTGTTCGATCCCTTCTTCAGGTGCGCTTGCTACTAGAGGGCTTCGCTTATCGGTGTGCTTGTATTCTGAGGGTGGCTCTTCTGCCCTCTACGGCCGTTTTCACTAAAGGGTGGTTTACTGAAGGGAGGTTTGTCCACCGCCGATTTCCGCTCCCCGGAACGTCCGCCTCGTTCTCGCCACTTCAGGTGCCGAGGCTGCCGCCCGTGCGGTTGAGTCGGAGCGTGCCTCGGCGCGCGTGCTTCTTCTCGGTGCTGGCTCCAGCCCGCTCGCGCCGAGGACGGAGGCCCGCGCGCTGGCTTGGTCCACGGTGTCGTGGCTCTGGAGGGTTTCTCCGAAGGGCTCAGGCGACCCCTCCTCCTTCTCCTCCTCCTCCTCCTCGGGGCACACCAGTCTCGCAACCTTTTGTTGAACACGTGCCAACTGGTGACTAAATCTGGAGTTCAAAGAGCAATGACGGGAGGACCGAACATGGCCACAGGATGGTCCAAGTGCCATCACTGCAATCGTTGCGAATGGAATAGCATTCTGAAGTCCAACAATTTCCAGTGCAGCAGGTGCCACATGAAGGTCAAGCTGCACAAGCCCACGAAGTCGGACAATGATGCCAAAACTAGAGCTGGTCACGTTCAGGATCCCCAGGGCACCCAGGCTAAGCCCGTCACCGAGATGGAGGCGCTGAAGCTCACCATCCAGACCACGACGGACGTCGCGCTGAAGGACACCCTCCAGCAGAAGCTCACGGCCATTCAGAACAGCCAGGCCTCAGAAGGCTCGGCGGCATCTGTGGGCGCGGCAGAGACGTTGCGCAAAGCAGTGGGAGCCTGGAAAGACGCAGATTTCAAGCATGGACAAGCAGTAGCAAATGTAGTCCGGCTACGTGAATCCCTGGCAACGGCCGAGGCAAAGGAGACGGCGGCAGCTGAAACCTTAGCCCAGGCCACCCTGGTCAAGCAGCAAGCGACGGCGGCCCTGGCAAAGATCGAGGGCATCACGGCGCCAAGCGGCCAGAACCAGAAGGACACGGAGGCCAAGAAAGAAGGAGAGTACAACCCTAACTTCCAGATCACGTGGGACGAGAGCATGTTCACGGACCTGGACACAAAGGAGTACGAGCAAGAGGAGAAGGACAGACTGATCGCCATACAAGCTGAGCTGACAACCTTCCGCACCAAGGTGCAGGGCTACAATTCGGAGGTCGAGAAGTGGCTCACCGAGAGTGCGGAGCTTCGTCAGAAGGCCCAGGACCGCGCTGCCAAGAAGCGCAAGGCCACTGGCGGCGCCCCCGAGCAGGACCCAGGCGCCCCGCCCGAGAGGGCCGAGGGCGGCGCGGCGCAGACGGCCCCTCCCACGGAGGCTGCCGTCGCGCCAGCGACTGGGTCCAGCCAGGCAGCGGACGCTGCCATGAAGGCGCCGCCTGATGAGGCCACGGCTGAGGAGGCAGCGCAGAAGGAGCAGATAAAGCAGACGGCGCAGAAGTTGTCGGAGGCCAAGTTCGCCGCCCAAGTTCAAGCTCGCGGTGCCCGTGGAAAAGGTCAGAACCAGAGCACCATGGGCAGCGGCAAGGGCAAGGGCTCGCTGGGCCAGCAGGCGCCGTATTGAAAGGATGACGTGGAGAGCAGAGAGGGTCAGCCTCGGCAGGCATCAGAGTCTCAGGGAGAGACTCCAGGGTCGAAGCCAGCCAACGAGGCCAAGACCAGCAAGCTGTTCTTCGCGAGTGTCACCGCCATGGGGGATAAGTGCTGGAGATTCATTGAATCAAATAAGGCATCGTATCAATTCTTCGGTCTAGCTGAAACGCATGTTGGAGCAAGTGAGGTTCGCAAGTGGGACGCCAAAGCCCGCAAGAGTAGCCTCCGCCTGCTAGCCAATAAAGCACGCTCGACCAATAAAGTTGTTTGCAAGGGTAGATCCAGTAAAGCCAATGAAGGGGGCGAGTGGGTATTTGCTCACGGCCACCTTCAGTGCAGTCAGTTAGCAGCTCCCGAAGGCGCCAAGGCCCTCCAGGCCAAGGGCCAGGCGTGTTGGGACGGTTTCATGCCAGTAGTAATTCAGTTTCAGGGCTATGTGCTCGTTTTAGTTATATTTTATGCGTAACCGTCGATAAAAATGACTGGCGACAATCTGTTGCGGTTTCACCACCTTGGAGCGTTGTTGAAGTCTCTCAGGGTTCCGTGGATTGTAGCAGGTGATTATAACATGCCAGCGTCCGTATTTTCTCACTCAGGCTTTTTGACCGCCGTGGGCGGGCAGGTGGTGCAAGCATCAGTCGAGACCACTTGTTCTACGGGAGAAACAGGGTCCCACATCGACTATTTGGTTTGTAGCCAGTCCGCCAGAGCCCTCATCAAGTCTGTCATACCTGTAGCTAAAGTGCCGTGGAAACCCCACGTAGGCCTTTCTGTAGAACTGCGCTGCGCTGGGGCCCAGTTGGAGACTAGAACCCTTAGATTGCCTGCTAAGCTTCCTCAGGAGCCAGGACCAGTTGCCACAGCCGTGCCCTGGTCTAAACCAGCTCTTGCAAGGTCGAAGCGCCAGCAGAAGCAAGCGCGCGCCAAGGCCAAGAGAGCCGAGGTGCATTCAGAGTTGTTTGGGGGCCGCGTGGAACCCGAATCGTCAGCCGCGCCTCGCCGAAGAGCTCAGGGTGGCGACGAGGGGGGCGCGGCTTTTAATTTTGAATTTGATGAGGATTTCGAAGCGTGGCCAGAGGACGATTGGCTGACGCAGGAAATCTTCGAGGCCGAAGCTGACCTTATAAGTGTCACCCCGACCCCCCCTTTAATCAGCCAGGCCGACCCCCAGGGAGATAGACCAAGTTTCGAGATCCCTGAGCAGACATGGAGGGAGTGCCGCCAGAATGTTGGATTTACTCCTGAAGCTGACTGCCCGCCCCCAGGCGGCTTTCTCGACTCGGTCAGTAGTCGTCTTGGCTCAAGCAATCTTGGCTCCATCAGCGCCCACTTTGCCTCGTGGGTCACCGCGCTGGAGGATGCGATTTACACTCATCATGCATGTGAGGCCCCGCCTGGCGCCCGCAGGGCTGAAAGTGCCAGTTTTCACAAGTCAGTGGTCCAGCAAGGGGCTTCGCTTGGAGAGGCCAGCCATTTCAAGACGAAGTTGCGAACTGGTGGACGCAGGTGAGTGCAATTGCAGCCGGCCTGCAAAAGCATCGAGAACGCCAAAATGGGGAAAACAAGTTGAGCATTTACTGGAGTGCTGCAGCAGCTTGGCCAATGATATTCCAGACAAAGCATCGCAATTTCTTACAAAGCTGGAACCAACTTTCGATAGTGTGGTCAGAGTTTTGAGAACAATCAAAGATCAATCAGATGCAGTGGTCAAAAAAGTTGCAGCCCTCACACGAAACGCGAGTAAAAGGTCCCAAGCTCGAGCTCTCCATGCATCAATGGAAAAGTTCCGAACGTGGGTTGATTCTCAGGAGGCAATGGGATGTTTGCATAAATCTATAAAGGAACAGCCGCTGCCGCCGCAAGAGTATAAGACAAGTGATGGAAAGGTTATATCTTCGCCGAAAGAAATGATCGACGCCAAGGTGCCTAAGTGGATAGGTATCTGGGCGCCGCCGTTGTTGAGTTATGAAGATCTGGGCAGAGCTTTTGGAGAAGCTCGCGCGGCAGCAAGCGTCAACCCCTTGTTGCCATTAGATCCTGATGACATCAGAAGAGCGACAAAAAAATGAGGCCTAATGTAGGCCAAGGAGTTGACAGATTATCCCCGACGGACATAGAAAGACAGTCAAATGCAGCCTTGGAAGAGCTATCAGACTTGTATCAAGCAATTGAAACAAGTTTGTGTTGGCCTGTACAAACTCAGTTGGTGATTGGACATATGACGCCAAAACATCGTGGTGATGGTGACAGAGTGATAGGATTAATGTCAATGCTGAGCAGAGTGTGGTCGCAAGCACGGGACTCGCACGTAGCTGAGTGGTCAACGGCAACGGCCCCCAAGTGGGGCGCTGCAGTGGAGGGCAACGCAGCCCTCAGAGAAGCATTCGTAAGAGTATTGGACGAGG